CAGACAGACGGCGGGAGCCCGTGCGGTCTCCACGGACAGACTCCCGCACCAAGGGCGCCCCGCCACCTTCCTCCGCTGTCCCCGAAGATGTCCGGAGCTATCTTCGCTCCTCTGGAGGGCCCGAGCGCGCTGGACGCGGCAAGCGGCCACCCGCTTGTGTGCCCGCTGTGCCACGCACAGTACGAGCGCCCGTGCCTGCTGGACTGCTTCCACCACTTCTGCGCCGGCTGCCTGCGCGGCCGCGCCGCCGATGGCCACCTCTCCTGCCCGCTGTGCCAGTGAGTGCCTCCAAGGCCCCGAGGAGGGGAAATTGGCTCTACCTGAGCAGGGACCTACGTGCAGGAAGGGCAAGGTTCTGACTCCTGGTGGAGAAGGCTAGGAGAGGTCTACACCCAGCTGGTACTTCTCCAACGGAGAACGTGAACGCTCCCACCCATTTTACAGATCAGGATAACTGAGACCTGGGGTTATCGACCAAGGCATCCCACAGAAAGTCAGAGGACAAGGACGGGCTACAAGGCATGCCCTGTCGACCCAGTGCTGCTGGAATATGGGAATCTCAGCACAGCTTCAGAACACTCTCAATCAGTAACTCACCTGGGGGTCCTGAAGTCTTAGGTCAACGTAAGCATGTTTTCTTGGCTCAGGTCACCCAGGGTGGCCCTAAATTTGCCCAATGCAGTGAGAAGGAGTTGAGGGGGAGGCTTTTGCCTTTGGCACCCTGGGTTGCCAACCCCCTCCCAGGATTTCCCCAGGACTGGAGAGGGACAGGGTCAGAGTGAGCAGTGGCTGAGATATTTATAGATGTCAGGCCTGCAGACACCCCACCTCTCAGTCCTATTTTTAGTTCCAGCCTGGAATGTATGGGGCAGGAAGTGGTAGGGTGCCTTGGGGAAGGGGCATCTGGATCTTGGCTGAAGCTTCTCCGCAGATACCAGACGGCGGTGAAGGGCCCCAGCGGGCTCCCTCCAGTGGATCGGCTGCTGCAGTTCCTGGTGGACAGCTCAGGGGATGGCCTGGAGGTGGTGCGCTGTGCCAACTGTGACCTGGAGTGCGGCAAGCAGGCAGGGGTGCCTGGGGGTGGGGTGGGGAGCGGAGAGTGCCAGGTTGTACAGTCCTGATGCTTGGAGTGTTACCAGCATGTCCTCAGAGGGTTATCCATCAGTGGATTCTCCAGCACCTCTCTAAGCCACCCTGTATCCAGAATGTGGGCCCATTTTACTGACGTGGAGACTGAGGTCGAAAACAACTGACTTGAGCCAACAGCCAGATAGTTGCAGAGGTTAAGACCATTTCAATCTGGGGGGAGCTTACTGGTCCCCAACTCAGGGTGGAGTTGTAAATTGGAACAGGAAGGGCAGTCCAGTGCACAGACCTGGGCCAGCTCTCCAGGGTCCGCTGCTACCTGGGTAGCTGTGCACAGCTATCTGCAGCCCAAGGGGAAGTGAAGACAGTGTGCTGCTGGATGGGTGATCCTGAAAGACCAGGGAGCAGAGATCAGGCTTCAGGCTGGACTGTGAAGGACACGCAGGACTCTCTCCAGCCTGTGAAGGCTGAATGGGGTATTCCAAATCCAGGAGGATGTCCCTGCAGGAGCAAAAGTTTGGGGTGTACTGGGCAAATTCTAGGATATGTGTTACCCAGAAGTACAGACAGCCAGCAGGAGGTGAGGGGCTGAAGGTAGAGAGAGCATGGGGAGGAAATGGCTTGAGTGCCAAAGAAAAGAGTTGTGGGGTGGTGTCTGTACTTTCTCAGCCATTACTGGAGTCAGTGCCCTGGACTCTCAGCCCTGGGGAAGGGCACCTGCACACTGTCACTCCTATTCTTCTCCTAGCCAAGTGCCGACCATATGGCTGGAGTGAGCACGGCCATTTGGCTCCTATTGAAGGTACCAAGGGAAGTTTGAAAGGGCTTCACACACACAGACACGCACACGGTTTTGTTGTAGGTAAAATGTTTTCCAAATGCAGTGTCTGCCCTCCCCACAACCTCATATAACCCCCTCCCCATGCCCGTTTTGGGTACCTGCCTTTTACTGACCCTACTTACCTAGTCTCTGGGCAGCGGTATTCTCATCTGTCAACGGGGTATATTAGGGCGCTGCGCCTCGGACTTCCATGAAAGGGCTGCAGTTGGCCGCGCGCCTGCCCCAGGCTGCAACTGATGCGCGCAACGACGTGTGGAGGCTGCGGTTCCCTCGCGGGCAGTGATCGGGCTCAGGTTCCCAGTCCATGGGCGGGCTGAGCCCGAGCTCTGTGCGCAGGACGCGGAGACCACGTACTTCTGCAACACCTGCGGGCAGCCGCTGTGCGCGCGCTGCCGCGACGAGACGCACCGGGCACGCATGTTCGCGCGCCACGACATCGTGGC